GAACACTGGCATTAACAGACCTTCTTTCCAACCCTCCTGGGATACTTCCCTGCTATCTCAAATTCCACAGGGACAAAACATACTTCCTTCTCCTGGACTTGAAGTCCACTCCTTTGCCCAGTCCACCTCCTAGACCAGAAACTTGGGGATTCTTTGCCCTACACTGCCAGTTTCCCATTCCACTGAATTTTTCTTTTCTTGAACCCCTTTTCTCTCAATCTCCACTGCCACTACATACACAGCAGTGGTCCTAGTCAAATTTACAGTTCATCTCCAGAACCCTAACCATTGCAAAGAACTGTAAGCTTTCCACCCCTGAACATGCCTTTCCTTTAAAAAAAAAAAAAAGTATTTTCATGGTTTTCCCTTTCCTTTAGGTCAGAGATTTTCAATCTTTTTTCATCTCATGGCACACATAAACTAATTACTAAAATTCTGTAGCACAACAAAAAAATATATTTTTGGCTGATTTGACAAATAAAAAAATAGGTATAATTTTTATTTATTCACACCCAATAGCTATTGTGTTGGCTATTGTCATTTTTTTATATACAACCTAAGGGAAAAGAGGCCAGTGCCCCTAATTAAATGGGCAGGTATTATATGTTTTAAAAAAATCTCTTGGCACACCGGTTGATATCTCTGCTACATGTTTTAATCTTAAGGCTCAATAGTCATTTACTCACCAACTACAGTAAACCCTTTGGGAAATTGTATGCAAAATTGTTGTATGGGTGTATAGGTGCATTGTTTTCGGTTTTCGAAAGGGTATGTGTACCTGAAATGGCTGGAGGTGTGTAGGTCTCAGTCTAAAGTGCAAATTCCTCAGCATAGAATGCAAGCCCTGCATGACTTGCCTATGCCCATCCTGCCAACTTCCTTTCTCCCCACATTCTCACTCATACTTCTCATGCCTTCATTCTTCACTGCAGGCCTTTGTCCACGTGGCTGTGCTTCTCAGCTTGGGAAGCCCTTTCCCTTCTTCTTAGCCAGCCTAACTTTTGCCAACCAGTAAGTTATCTTCTTTCTTGCTCTATTAGCATTTACCTCTTGGATTTTCAAATTGAACCCCAGGTTATATTTTTTAAAAAATCTTAATGGTTGAAAGTATTACATATATCCCTCTCTTTTCTCCTGACCTCTCCCAGCCCGCTCTTGCACCTCCTATGGATAATTTATAGTTGCTAGATTTTTAATAACACCCTTCTCTCCCCCCCCCCCCCACATACACCTTCCTGTTACAGAATGCTGTATGGGAATTTTCAATGTAAAAGTTTTATTTTATACCTAGCCACCACCTGGTGTTATTATTTAACAAATCCTATAATTCTAATATTCAGTGACCCACTAGGAGGTAATTTATCTGGCTTATTGTTCCTAGTTTACTGCAACACCACCCAAAAAAGGCAGTTTACAATCATAATGTGTCCCTGAAATTATCTATCCTGGAAAATGTTCCAACTTTTTTAGCTAAACCTTGCTCTAACTAGTCTGCTAATACCTTTCAGCAGTCTCTCACAATCCAAAAAAAAAAAAAATAGAAAAGAAAAAAAAAGTCTTTTGTAGCCTCCAACGAAGCTCTTTGCCCTCTTTGGGCCAAGGACCTGTGCGAAGTGTATTTCCCTGCTGGTACAGCATCAACATACACAGCGCTCACCACGCTGAATCACCAATCCCCGGAGTTTCCCCAAATAGCTTATACCGCCTCCCGGGCACTGGACGCCAGCCCCGCGCCGCCGAGCGGGAGGCCGCTGACTGCCAGCCCACAGCGGAGAGTGTCCGGCTTCAGGAGCGCGGGAGGCGCTGGGAGACGCGCAGAACTTGGCCTTGGCCGCTCCGGGCCGTCCCCGCCCCCCGGAGCTGGGAGCCGCGGGGCCGGCACCAACCTCCGCCAGCACCGCCCGCCGCGCACACAATGGAGCGCGTTCCCGGCGGGCCGCTCGGGCTGCCGCCGGCCCCCAGCCCGCGACCCTGGGAAACGGGGGAAGCAGCCCTGCTGGGGCCACCGGGCAAACCCCGGTGCACCCTCCGCCCACTCCCACACTCCCAGAAGGTTGTGTGCCTGCATCGGGAGCCGCGGTGCAGGGAAGGGGGGGCGAGCGGAAGTGCCAGGCCCTGCAGTCAGCGGACGGTGACGTCACCGCTACTGTGAGCCTGTAGCGGGGGCGACTGCCCGTCACGTGGTCCAGCCCTCTTCTCCCTCCTCCTCCCTCCTCCCCCTTCCCCTCCTCCCTCCTCCTCCATCTTCTCCTCCTCCTCCCCCTCCTCCTTTCCTCCCCCTCTCCTCCTCCTCCCCTTTCCCCCTCCCTCTCCTCCTCCTCCTCCTCCTCCTCCTCCATCTCTTCCTTCTCCTCCTCCTCCCGCTCCTCCTCCGCCTCCTCTCCCTGCTCCCCGCTCCCCGCTCCTCCTCCCCATCCTGTGCCAGCTCCCCTCCCCAGTCCCGGCTCCCACTTTCGCTCCCTCCCGCTCCAGCGAGGCTGTCAACAGCGCCAGCTCCGCCCCCTCCCCGCGCCCCGTGTAGCCGCCCGGCGGCGCGGCGGCTGTGGCTCCTCAGGTCCCCGCTCCGCCTCCCCCGGCCCGACCCCTGACGCCCGGGTGCGTGAGCGCCGGGTCCGGGGTGCGCGGCGGCCTTCGGTAACTGCGATTTCTGCTCAGCCACGTCCGCGCTCCGGGGGCGCCGGTCCCGGGCAGGTCTCCGTCGGGGGCTGGCCCCTAAGCGGGAGCCGCAGCCCGGGACCCACCCTCAGCCCCCGCCCCGCGGCCGGCACCTCCGCGGCGCGCCGCTCGCGCCTCCGCTCCCCCCGCCGCCTGGACGGCGCTCGCCGGTCCTGCCCGGTGTCTCCGGCGGCGGCCGCGCGGGCGATGGCTGTAGGACCGGGGCCGGGCGCACACCTCCTCCTCGAGTGCCCTCGGCCACCCCGCCGCGGACTCCCGGGATTACAGCTTTGGTGGCTGTCACTGCTGCGCCTGGTTCTATTTCCCCCCCTCATTTCCCTTCTAAAAGTAGAGGCTTGGCGGGGAAGGAAAAGAAACCCCGGTGCCGAAAGGGGCGGTGCAGACTGACCTGTCATCGGCGGGGGAGGAAGACCCCCGGTCAGGGCGAGTTTCTGAGCCCGCGCGGGGACGGGCGCCCGGGGTTCGCACGGAGCGGCGCGGCGGCGGCGGAGCAGCAGCGCGGTGTCCCCGGGCGGCGCGGCCCCGCGGCGCCCGCCCCCTCCTCCGGCCGGCGCCGCGCTCCCAGCCCATCGCCAGGGACCAGGGAACCCCCCGGCTCGATTTTTTGTGCAGTTTCAGCAAAGCTCCGAGGAAGTTGGTCCTTTTGTTCCACTATTTATAGATTGCGTCAACATTGCGAAGAGAAGAAGGCGGAGCGGTGGCCCCTCCCCCTCCTCCCACCGGCTCGGGGGAGAGAAAAGCCCCAGCACACGACCTAAGTACACTGCGCGCTCGTCGCCGCCGGCCCCAGCCTCCAGCTCGCCGCTCCCCCTCCCCCGGGGCGCCGCCAGCCCCGTCACGTGTCCGCCAGGGACAACCGGCTCCCGGGGCTCCGCGCCGCCGGCCGGGCTTCGTGCAGGCAGCGGCTGTCCTGCCCACCCGTGCGCCTGGCCGGTGGGCTCCGGCCGTGGCGCACAGTTGTGGGCACCCCTGCTTTAGCCACCCAGCGGGTATCCCCTGGGTCCCCGGCTTGTGGATGTGCCCCCTAGTTCTCCCTGTTCCCGCCCTCTCCCTTCCCTCCCTCTTCGGAGTGCCACCGCCCCGGTCTCGGGAGTGCGCGCCTTTGGGCCTCGCCTGGGAGCCAAGGGCCGGGCTTGTCTCCGGCGCCTCCGCTTTCCCAGGCCTTGAGATGCCAATCTTCCCCGGGCCCGCATGGTTGGGTTGGGGTGGGAGACGGAAAGGTGCGGGGGTGGCTTGCAGAAGCTCGCAGGGGAGGCCGGCGGAAAGCGGGAAGCGCTACGGGGCCTTCACAGACCGCGGGGACGCGCTCCCCAGACGTCCTCCCCGCTCCGCAGGTGCAGCGAGCTCACTCTCTGCTTCCCGGACAGCGGGGGAACCGGCAGCTTTCAAACCCGGGCCGCAGTGGAGGGGCGGGGATGTAATATTTGAGGAGTTACTCGAAGTTGGATCGGTGACAAAAACATTCGAACTTTTCTTCAAAACGCAAGGGCGAAAATGATAGGCCCCGTCATACCCCCGAAGTGAAACTGAGCTCCCTGCTGGCCTAAAGCTCCAGTTCCTGAGCTCAATGTAAACAGGGAGGATGGTGAATACAACTAAAACTGCAAGTAGCTAGTCTGTGATTTACCTTCGCAGCTTCCTGTCTTTTTCCCTACGTGATTTACTTAGATCGGAGTTGAACTTTCCTGGGTCGGAATAAAATAAAGTAGCCCATTAGATCAGGGGTGGTGGAAAGCTGGGGGCTAAGCTGGGACAAGTGCAGGAAACACGCCTGACTTTTCCAGGCAGCTGGACAGTGTGGTAAACAGTCTGGAAGGGTTATGTTATTTTTTAAGGAGTTTGGAGGACTGTTCCCTACACTCACCCTCCTTGGGCTCAGGAGCAGACTGAGGAAGGGGGCGAAGCGCACTCCGCACAAGCTGCCCCCTGCGCCCACCCCAGTCCCGGCACTGGGCTCCTCCAAACTCTGGAAGGATTTCTAATGGGCCACACCCAGCAGCAATGTTTGCCTCTTTCTGAGAAACCTTTCCAGGTTTGGAGTCCCCGTCCCCCCAGGGGGGATCTTAGGCCATGAAATCATCAGTTTTATCATTGCATGCTTCACTCCCATACAGAGGGTGCTAGATGAAGTAAAACGAACCGGTGCAGTGTTTGCTGGGTTTCCAAAGCGCAGAGCTGTGCCCGCCCTCAGCAAACGGGCGTGTGTTGGTGTCCTCACACCTAATGGTGCTCAGAGCCTGGTGTGGGGCCTGTTTCATTCTCTGGGCTCTCACGCCTTCTCTCAGGGTTTCCTTACAAATGAGTGAAAGCCCGCTGACCATCGTCTGTATTTGAAAGATAATGCCTACCTTCTCGTTTCCCCACCAATTTGGAAGTATACAAAGCAAGTTTCTTTGCAAGAAAACACGTCAGGGCCTCTTGGCCCTTTTGGCCCCAGCTAGGAACAAGGGTGTGCAGGCCCCAGATTTAGCCTTGCTTTCCCCCACTCCCCGCCCAGCTTCCCATTAACCAAGGTGTCCCGCCACTTTGTCAGGTACACACACGCGTTTCACCCCCCACTTTCTTCTTTCGAAATCTTCCCGGCTGCAGAGAGAAGGGAGCAAAAGCAAAACGAAAGCACCCGGGCCGGCCGCATCAGCTGGAGCAGCTTCCCAGAGCTCAGCCAGCCGGGGGTGACCAAGGTCTGGGGTCAGGAGGCAAGGGTGGGCGCCCCAACTTCGTGGAAACCGGGTTGTGAGTGGTATGGGGAGGGCGCGGGAAAACTCCTCCTCTTGGGAAAAGTCAAGGGTATGATAAGTTTGGCTTGTGTCTTGAGTTGAAATTCGAGACTGATTGGACCCTGAGGAAGGGAAGTGGAGGCGAAGGAGTGTGGCGGGAAGGCTGGCGTTGGCCCCCAGTGGCGGGTCTTGGGGAGAGACCCAGGCGAGGAGCCTGGCGCAGCTCCCAGAAACCAGGGGTACTGGAGGCCCACGGAATTGGGCCACTGATGTTGGATAAATATCCGCCTCTCATCAAAAACCAGAGCTCTGAGCAGTATAAAGACGCCAGGACTTCAGGAAACTTTGGTGATAGCCTTCGCACCCGCCCTCCCTCTTTGCGGTCTTCACTGCAGGGACAAGGCGGCCTGCGCAGATTTGGGCGGAAGCGCAGCCAGTGTGGGCGGCCTTACCAAGGCCTTACAGAGACCTTTTCAGTTAAGGAAAAGCATGAGAATATCTTCAGAAAGTGAAGGTAACCCCTCACAGCCACCCTCAGGCTAGCAGCCAGCCCGAGTCTGGTCAGCTAACATGAGTCCTCCCTCACTTATCCCGCCCTCCTCCGGAGCGAACCAGCGCTGGAATACTGAGATGCTCGCTCTGTCACTCCAGCACATTTACACAGCCAAAGAACTAATCTGTTCTATTTAACGGCACCTTTGTTGTGGATTTTGGCAAATGTTAAAAAATCATGTGATCCCAAATGAGTGGAATGTGGAAACATAGCTTGTGCCAGTAGTTGGGTCTGCACTCTCTCACTGGCACCTAATGCAGGGGGCACGCAGTGCTGTCACACCTCTAGCTGTTCAGAGGCACGTTCTCAAAATCCCTTCCATTTTTTAAAACAGGGAGACTCGCAATTGTATAACTGTTTGCATTGCTTAGATTATGTGTTGCTGGCTATTTATTCACTTAACAGGACTAAAAACGGCTGTCATCTTAAAAGATGCAGAATTGCGTTCGCTTAGGCGAACTTTGGGAATACAGTCTTGGTTTCCTGCTGACGTGTTGCCGGTAACAGGCAGTAATCAATCTCAGAGTAGCTTTGTTCGTTTTTATTCCTTCCCTCTTCATCACAACTGCAAACACCAGAAAATTCTAATTGTAAAAAATGACGAGAGGGATGCTCTCTCTCTCTATATATATATATGAAATAGATTCTTAAGCTAATTTCTTCTTAAAAGAGCGTCTTTCTTAAACATACAAACGAAAAACCACAAAAAATCAGCAAAAACTGTTTTTAATGCAACAGACTGATATAAACGCCTGCTTTCACCATGCCAGTCCTTAGTTTCAGACGTGGCCAGTATTCTCACTTTCTTGCAGGTCTTCCCCCTTGTAACTTATTTTCGTGAAAAATAAGTTTCATCAGGTTATCTTGCTAAACTGGGCGTCTATAATTATGAAACTAGTGTTTTCTCCTCCACCTACGTACGCGCGTGTACACACACACACACACACACACACACACACACACACACACGACACTCCGCATTCGCAAAGGGTGCGTCCCCGGGTTAGGTTCAGACTTCAGTGCCTACAAGCTGTCCGCCCCAGGCAGTCCCTTGAGCCTTTGAAAGGCCAACCTCGCTCACACCACGGGAGCCCGCTCTAACAGCTCGATTTGGAGTCCAGTTTGGAAACAAATCTGCGCTTTTCGCGGTGAAATGGGAACTTGCCCAAGCGATGCATCTGGCTTTAGATTTTACGGGGAATATGATCTTGTCAGGGGAATGGCTGTTTCAGGCGCCGCAACACGCTCCTCGCGAACCCGGGGGCTCCCTGGGGCAAACAGCGCCCCGAGGGTAGACCGCAGGGCCCCAGCCGACCTCGAGGCGCCCCGGTTGGGGTTAGACCCGCGCCAGTGCTCTGCCTTCTCCGCTACGCCTGGGGTCGCTCTCCGAGGCTGTCGGCAGTTTCAGACCCGAGGAGAAAGTCTGAGACTGAAGATCACATGTCCTTAAAGGGGCTGGGGGAAAAGAGGAGGCTCTTCTCCGTGAGTGCCAGCGAACTCAAACACCCCGCAACCCTTCCCCCCAAAGGGAAGAACACTGTCCTGGGGAGCACTAGTGTCCCCGAGACTTTGCCAGAGTTTGCAGAGTTCGGAGCTAGCGTGACCGACCCCTCCCCAGCCCCGCCGCGTGATTTCACAACCCGCTCCGGGCCGCCTCAGGCGCGGACCAGGCAGTGTGTGGAGCGGGGTGAGGTGCTTCCCGCTCCCTCAGCAACCGGGAGCTTTATGGGGTTAAAGTGGCGCTGCGGCCTGGGCCCGAGGAGCGGTGTCTGCTTTGGCCTGGAGGGGCTGGAGGCGCCGGGTGGGGTGTGGGATCCCCGAAAAGGGCCGGAGAGCCCGGGCGCAGGGGAGGTGTGGCACGGGGGTTTCTGCTATCGGAACCGGCTCCAAGGACGAATCCCACGGGAATGGGGGCCGAGCCGGCAGCAGGGACGGGGGCGGGGGCGAGGGCGGAGGGAGGGAACCAGCGGCGGTTGGCGCACGTCTTGGCCCCCAGGCCGGGGTTAAGTCAGGAGAGCGCCGGCCGGCGCTCAGCTGGATAAGATCCTCCCCGCCTCCTCCCGGCTGGGGCTGCGGGCGCGGAGGGGGCGGGCGGAGCGCCCTGGACGCTGAGGTCTGCAAGTTGCCTTCGGAGCGGGGCGGAGGCGCTTCCCCAGTCTCTGAGGGGGGAAAAAAAATCTTCTGAAAGCGCACCCCCTTGGCACGCTGCCCCGGGGCCCCGGTAAAGCAGATAGAGGGGGACTCTGGGAACAAGGGAGGCTCAGTGTATTATAGAACTTCCCCAAAAGTCCCGGCTTGTCAAGTGAGTGGGATTCTTGATAACTCTGGGATTGCTGCGCCCATTCCCCCTTCCAGACAAAACTAAAGGAGTGCGCCTCCAAAGGAACACTGAGGTTCAGGCCCCGCGAGGAGACAGAGCAGCCCCGCCGGCGCCCTTCTCCCAGGGCCGCTCGGAGCGTCCTTTAGCCGCGGGGGGGCGGGGAGGGCGCGGCTCGGGGCTCCCCGGGCTCCGGGTCCCCTTTTGGCCCGAACGCGACAGCCGGAAACGCCTCGTCCCATTTGTTGTTGTTTGTTTGTGTGGCTGTTTTGTTTTGTGTTGTTGTTTTCTGTCTCCCAGTCAAAACATTTGGCTGAATCTCTGCAATAACTTTTTTGACAGTCTGTAAAAGAAAAAAAGACAAATTGCCTCAGAGAACAATTTCCCCTGGACTATGTAGCGAGATTGTTTTTTTCATTAGTTGCAGGAACTGGATTTTGATGATTTACCTGCTTGCTGAAGCTCCTGGGTGTATTCTCCTCTTCTCCTTTCCCACTTCATCTGATTATCAACTCCTTTCTCATTTTTTTTTTTTTTTTTTTTTTTTTTTTTTTTTTTTTTTAGTTCCGGGCACTCAATTCCAGGTACCCATTGTAACAAGTGTAGCCGCTAATCTAACTCAGTCTTTATCAATAATAGCTACAAGCCACAGTGTTTGCATAGCACTCAGAAAGCCCGCCGTGTTTTCGGTTCCTGTGAACCGCAGCGATGGAAAAGTTTTGCTTTGTATGTTCTTTTTTTTCACATAGCGTTTAGCGCTGGTGCTCTCCTCCCAGTAGCAAGTTCCCTCTCTCTCAACCAGTTCGGGATTTCTTGATTTTTGCAAGGAACTAAAGAGTTAGAAGACATCACTTCTCTTCTTCCCTCCCCCCGCCCCTACACAGAATTAACACTAACCAATGTAATCAGTTAAACAAAACAGATTTTAATATCATTAAACACTGATCTCTCCATTAACCTTGGCAATTATGTCACTTTGAAGAAGGAAATAAAAACGAAATCCTTGAGGATGAAACAAAGTTATGGAAGTAGCTATCTGAGGTACACATGTAGAATAAGGAAGTTTCCGTCTTTTAAAAAAAGATTTCTTATTGATAAACAATTATTAATATGAAATAAAATCTGTAAAGGTAACCCTATCATGGTCCCTGCACATAGTAGGTATTCAATAAATATTTAGTCTCTCTCCATTTCTTCTCCCCATACTTGGAAATTTTGGCAGGAGATACAGGCTTCCCAGTGGCTAAGGAAATTATGCTCAAACTTCACTTCTGGTTCATGTAATCTCCACTCACTTGAAAAAAAAACCACACACAACACAACCTCACAAAATGTGTCCAGGGAACTTTAAGAACTTATTATAACTCATTGGAAATAGCTAGACAAAATAAAAGGTACGGTGGTTACATACATATAAATCCAAAACACATTAAATTATTTCAAACTTTTCAGTGGCTGTAAGAGGCAACGATTAGCATTTGATTTCGTTTACCGTTTTCTACAGTAAAAACGAAAATTGTGGGCTCCTGCTCACTTTCCGCATTTGTTAGAGCTGCATTCACCCACTAACTTCTCTCTCGCCACCTCACATTTTCATAACGCAAATTTTATTTGGACGCTGTTCAGCTATCCACGTTTGAGATATGTTCTCTTTTTTTTTTCTTTTAGAAAATGAGAAAATTGAGTAGGAGGTTGTAGCACTCACGCTGGCGAACATCCACCTGTCCGCTCCTCCCGCGCAGAGTCGCTGGAGAAGACAGCTCAGGGTGCGGCTTTTCGGATTCCCGCCAGGTCACCTGGTCGCCCTTTTAGGGGGCCCATTCTGCGGGAGTAAAGTCACTTCTTAGTGAGTTTTCTGGCAACTCTGTGCTGCTTTTTAAATGGAGAGTTTCCGCACGTTCGCCTTACAGGCTTTCCAGACTCAAATTAATTGTTAAGAATTTAAAAACTGTTCAGCGCAACTTTTTTTTTGATCTTTCGCTAAAACAAACAAACAAACAAAAACCCCCACAAAACCATGAGGCTGGTCATGACGGGAGAGCTCCGCCACCGGGCAGGTCTCAGGCTCCCGAAGCCCCGCTGCCCCGCGGGATGAGCCGGGAACCGGCGCGGGGAGCCGCGGCGGGAGGGGGCACAGCGCGTGACTGGAAAGCCACCCCCAGGGGCGCCCGCTGGGCGTGCGGGAAACTGGGGGCCCCGTGCCTTCTCC